CTCCAACATTTTCAAACACCACAGTAGTCAAGGTCTTTCTTGGCCACATTTAATACTGCTGTGGAAATGCTTGTTATAAAATCTTTCCTTAAATTCCAATACTAATGAATTTCCTAATGACACTGTAGATAAAGCTGTTTTTTTCCCAAGTTTGACCATATAGACAGTCCACAACTTCACCTATTCTTTCCTCTCAAGAGCTACTGCACCCATGGCATGGTACCTGTGGTGATACTCTTGGGCAGAAATTTTGCTGAAACACAAGATCTGGGTTTTTCAGAGAAGACAACAGGATATGGGCATAAACTCCTTTTAACAGGATCCTTTTTGGTATTTGCTGCTTCTCACCAAACTTCCCCTTGAGGATGAGCTTCCTTGAAATAAAACCACTCTGTGAAAGGTGTTACTGCTCCTCATAAAGCATCTTTTGGGTTATTCAATGTAAATTTGATGCTGAACAGAAGAGGTTCTTGGAGACACCACTCCTACCAACCACTGGACTCAAAGCTTTCTCCAAGAATGACCACCTGATGTGATGAAAGGAGCAGCACTGTTTTTCTTCTTCTATGCATACAATGGTGAGATTGAATATTCAGCTCTGGTTTAGTTTCTGCACAAGTAAATACCTCAGACATTTAATTACTGCAGCACATTGACCTGGAAAGCAACATGAGCTGTTTTCCTGGTTGGTGCACAACCAACTTAGCAATAAAAAGCACTGGAGATGAGCAGGGAAGCTGGATGAAGACTGGGAAGTAACAGTGAATTTGTGTCTGTACCACCAAGCACCTCCAGAGCAATAAAAAAACCAAACACAGAACCCCTATCTCCCCACCAGCCCCCCTAGAAATGTTTTACCTGGCTTCCCAGCCTTGCTTCCACCTTCATTTCCATGAAAAATCCCCTTGGATCTACACAATGCTCCATCAACTTGCCAGACACCAGGACCAAGAAGCAGAAGCTTGTCCCCTAATCCTCTTATAACCATGATGGGCATGTTCCTCAGGTGGCACAAATCAGCCTAACCAACTGACTTGGGTGCACACCTTCACCTGATGGATCACCAAAGCCTGTGCAAAGGAAGAGTCAAATCTATCTGCCAGCTGGGTGCTGTTTGCAGATCAGGCAGAACCTGGTCAGCAGCTGAGCTGCCACACAAGTTGTGCTGAAAACTTCTGTGTGCAAAGAAGAAAAAATGATGTCTCTCTGTGCTCCAATGTAAAAGTAACACCCTGTTAGAGAATCTGGGGCTTTAGAGCTCCCAGCAAAAATTAAACTACAACTTTCCATTTTCCATGCAGAAAACCACATGGAAATGCACTTGGAAGTGTTCAAGGCCAGGTTGGATGAGGCTTTGAGCAACCTGGTCTAGTGGAAGGTGTCCCTGCTGATGGCAGGGGGGTTGGAAGGGGATGATCTTTAAGGTCCCTTCCAACCCAAACCATTCTATCGTTCTATGAAAACAAAAAGAAACAAACTTTATTTTTTTAAAGAAACTGGATGAGCAATGATTTTATTGTGTTATTAATATGATCATAAACAAGAACAACATGTTTATAGGCTCAAGTGCTTCATTACTCACTCGCTGACTTGGTAAAGATCACCGTGGCATCAGTATAAAGTGCAAAATGGAACAGATCATGGTAGTCATGTTGTAAAATCATCTCGGCAGGTGACCTTTGAACAAAGGCAATTGATAGCTCTGAGGCAGCTGTACAACAAGAGTGAAGATAATAGTTGTCCACAAGCCACCAGACCTGTAGGAAAGCAAATACACACCATGCCTGGGAAGGGGAGAGAGCACCAAGGAGACTGAGAAAGGTTTGGGAAAGAGAAGTAAAAGGTGATCTCCAAAGTGTGTCTGCAAATCAGCCTCGTCTGGGGATGGGGCAGGGAGGCATGAGCCCAGTCACAGAAGGTGGTGGTGGTGGCACAGCATGGGCAGGGTCTGGCCAAAAGCATCTCCTGCCTGCTGGCTGGAGCCAGGCAGGGCAGGACAGCGGATACTGTATGGGAAGCCCATGACTTCCAGGTCATATGTGGAGTCTGATTCTCCTTGACCTCTATTTTGAGTCCAACCTCCTCTATCGCCACCGCAAGCATTCAACACACAGGGTTTGGGGAGCTGGGCTGTGCAACCAGGCACCTGGAGGCTGTAGGAGCATGACTGAGGATGTAGCATGAGCTGGGAAGACTCAAATTTTCCTGTGGTTTTTGTTCACACCTAATGGGGCAGATGCTTCTCTTTCTTTGCCACATAATGGGGACTGCAAAGGGATGTGGACTTCCTAAGGAAAGTCTTCAAATGACAGGTTGGGAAGGTAATGGCTAGAAATTACATGAGTCCTCCTGGATATGGTGTCTGCAAGGCTGGGACCTGCACAGGGTGGGCTTCCCAGGATGCTGATTCCTCTGGGGGTGCAAGGACCAGGAGGAAAGGAAACATCCCCTCCCTGGGGAAGCTGACCAGGAGACAGAAGTCTATGGGGATGGCTCCTGCTTTAGGGAGGGGAGCAAAAGGTTGGAAGACAACCCTGAGAAATGAAAAACCAGCCTCATGGCTGATGCTGTCCAGTGAGTGCAGGAAACGAGAAGGAAGGAAAAATTACACACGTCCCGGTTGTTTCACTTCTTGTCACTCTGCCTCGTTTCGTCAGCCACCAGCCCCCGGAGCATCCCGACGCCCGGTCGACAGTTACCAACAGGCAATAAATAAAACCGCTGGAGCCACTGGTGTCAACATCTTGGCATTGTTTGGGTCTTCTTGTTTGCCTTTAAAATAACTCTCCCCCTTGGGGTCATGCAGACGAAAAAGCGAGGACCCCCTGCCATCGTCTGTAGAAATCATCTTGCCATGACTTGTGTAGCGTTGACTTTTTTTTTTGCTTGCCAAGCTTGGGGTTTGGGGAGCTGCCTGGGAGCGTTACTCATGCTACACCCAGGGCTCCTGCTCCCTCCTGCCCGCCCCTGTCCCAACACGTCACCTTGGGCGCCTGCAGGTCTCCAGAGCCTGGGCCACACCACCCATTTTCCTGACTCCCAGAGGTGCAGTTTGGGCTGGATTTGGGGACGGTGTCACCCCACCAGCCCCGTGCTGTTGACTTATCCGCTGCACGGCTGTGCCTGGCTCTGCTGCGGATGTTGGCAGGCCAGGGAGTGGAAAAACAAACGGTGGAGATGTGGATCCATGGTGAGAGCCCGGCTGTGCAAACACGCTGTGCCACTGCCAAGCTGGATGGATGCCCCTTCGTGACAGCCCCTGCCCTGGCACTGGAGCTTGGCGTCATGCAAGGTGCTAATAAAGCTCTGGAGGCACAAGAAAAACTCCTCCAAAGACAGTTTTCATCCATGGGCTTGGATAAAAGGGTCGCTTGAAACCTCCCCATGCCCACACAGGACTACATTGAGGGACCAGAGGCTGAGCTATGGCAGCACTGGAGGGGACTGGTGCTCCCCAGTGCCTGGAGCATCTCCTTCCTTCTAGTAAGGGTTGCATGGTGGAGAGCACTTTCCTCCATCTCATCTGAGTCCTGACTTGATGTCAGATTTCACTCTCCCTGATCATCTTTAGCTTGTTGTTTATAATAAAAATCAAGCGATCCATCTCTTCTGACAAGAGGAAGAGTTGCTCCAGGAAGCCCTGGACAGGTCAACTTCTATATTAAGGAACTATTATTTGACAGCTTCCTGGCCATAAATAGTTGTCTATCCAGACTGGGGATTTTATTTAGAAATAACAAATAAAGCAGACCATAGAAGTAACTTAATGACCTTGCTCGCCCTTCATTTCCCACCCATCTCCCCTCCTTGGTATGGTCTTCTCCTCACCCCCAGGCTCCTCTGGAGCTTCAGGATCCCTTTGCATATCTCTCCATCACCATCCTCCCTGGGACAACTCCAAGAAGCTGTAGAAACTTGCTGTTGCCAGGTTTTGGAAATATGATGTGGGTTTTGCATCATTGATGATCTCTTGCTACAGCTCAGCTCCAAGAAATTATTTTCTGCTTGGCTTTCGTTAAAATAATTAAAAAGGAATTTCTGCCCTGCATGGTTGAGAGCTGGAAATCCTCCACTCAAAATAGCCCCAAAACTGGATGCAAAGAAATACACTTCTAACACATCCTTTAGTTTTCAATCCCTCAAACCTTTCTCTTAACTTTTGGAGGACTAAGTTCTGATTTTTTAATGCTCAGACTTGGCAATATCAAAACCAATCAGGAAATACAAAAGAAAAACAGCATTTCAGTATTTTTTTTTTATTATTGGGAAGTTTTGACCATTTTTGTCATGTAGTTTGCCTAAAATAATAATAATAAAAAAATCTTTGTTTGGAGCTGGAAAGGGAAGAGCAGCGTGTTTATTTCATGTGTGACTCATCAGCTCAGTGTTGATATGCTAAACACTTCAGAAGCTAACACTCTATAGAGATGATCTTTTTTTTATATATATAAAACAGTAAATGTTTAAAACAACCATTGCTTTTTTTTGTTTTTTTTACTCTTTTCTTCCTGTTGTGGCAAATAAAACATAAGAGAGGCCACACAGTTTACATTTTAATAAAATTAAGTTATTTGGTGCCATGTTATTACAGTTTTTATTGGAAAGTGGAATAAATTGCACACAGAGGAGTCATAGGAGGGAGAAATCACTGCGAATAAACATAGATTCTGGGATGCTTTTATTTGCTGGTTTCATCTCAAAGGAGGAAGGCTTTCCCCAGGAAAACAGAGGTGGTCCAAGGGCTCCAGCCTTGGGGAGGCAACCCTGGGTCTCTCCAGCTGAGGGTGAGATTTCTGGGGAGCTGGTGCCACAGCAGGGCCATCCCAGACCCATCCAGCCAGCATTTTCCATGTGCATCCTCCGAGAGAAACCTGTCCTCCGGCCGCTCGACGTGCCGCCGTCCCGAAGCGCTGGGGCAGCCTGTCCTCCTGCCCATTGTCCATTTGCAGGGCCAGCCAAAAACATTGGTCCCGAGGCTTTTTGCTGGAGGTTGGGGGTTTCTAGGCAAGTGCCAGGGCACACCAGGAGTCCTGCCGGAGCGGCACACTCAGCCCAGGCTGTGGGGCCATGGTGGTGGGGGAGAAGGTGTAGTCCTCGGGCTCATATTTGAACTCGCCGTGGCTGCCGGCCAGCGTCTCGTCCGACTGGCTCTGTGCCTGCTCCGGGGAGGGAAGTGGAAAGTCATTAGAAAGCCTGTTATTAGCCAACGGGTCACTCTCCCCCTTGTTGTAACGTGGTGGTAGGATTAGGATGGATTATGAACAGGGTGGGTTATTCCTGAAGCTAGCGCTGCCCTTTGGAGGAGCCTGGAGCTGGGCATCAAGGTGCTCCATCCCCAGCAAGTACAAGCACCAAGCAGAGAGGAGGCATCCTGAGGTCCATCTGCATTTATTTATTGACTAAACATATTCAGTTTGGAGATCTCTAGGCACGTGTATATTTTCTAAGAGCACAGCACAAATCAGATTTATCGTCTTCAGCCAAAAATTCTCCTCTCCCATACAGCACGGCTGGCACAGTGCCAAGCTCTTGGGTGCTGGAGCTGAGCTTCTCCTCCATGCACACATCTCCAGCTTGGGAAGGCCTTAGACCCAGCATAAAGATAGTGCTGGGTCACAAAATTTTGATGTGGTGGTTGATTTAGAGCCATTTTTTTTCCTCTGACAAGACAAAATAGCAACTCACCCCAAAGAAATCCTCAGGGCAGAAGTACAGCCCTGCAGTCTGGGGTTTCTGACAGCATTACAGCTCTGTCAGTGCTGAGCACCTCAGGGCTATAAAGCACACATAACATATGTCCAGGGAGCCTTTTCTTGGGAGCTACAGAGGTTTCCACCCTGGGCTGATCCCACCAACTTGTCAGGGTTGTAACTCCCAGGATTTCATGGCCGGAGATGGGAAACAAACCCAGCTCTGTGCCAAAGCCAGGTCTCGACCATTCGCCTCTGTGGCAGCAGGGCTTGGACCTCCCAGTTCCTCACTGCAAGATGGAAGAGCTGATGGGGAGCCAACAGGCTGGAACCCTTCCTGGTCTGCAACATTTTGGCTCACACTCCTCCTTTCCTCAATCTGAGGCAGTCCATCAGGCTGGAGGCCCCCAATGCAATGAACTAACTGCTTAGCCTCATCAAAGTCCTCCAGATCAGCGACTACTGAGGTGTGTGGAGCATCCACCCTGGCAGCTGATGGCTGTGGGCCCCTGTGCCTTACCTGGGACACCGAGACGATGGTTTGTCCGGGATACTGCGAGGTCGTGCTGGGCTCTGACTTTAAAGTGACCGTGCTGTCTGAGTTCGTAATGGAAGAAGGGGAGTTAGTGGCCGAAGTCGTAGACCCTGGAAGACAGTTGGTACAGGATGATGAAGCAATATAGATGCAAATCTACTCTTAAGGAAATCTATTTTTTAATATCTACTGTCACATCTCATGGCATGACACTACTCTTCCCTTCTCCACCACATCTCTGTCAGGGTAAGGCTTTGTATTTGGCTGCCAAGATGTTGATGGAGGAGGAGGAGCCGCCTTTCACAGCCTGGCAGTGCTGGTCCTGATAGAGGCTGGATGGGCTAATGTTGAATGCACCATAATACCTTCCCCTTGACTCTTTAATACACCATTCCTAGCCTTGTTTTTTTCTCATTACTCAATTTAGCCCGGATCTGCTTGAACATGAGTTCTGCTGGGCTGGAGCTGGTGCCCTTGGTGCAGAGGAAACTCAAGGGTATATGACAGCAGTGAGGTTTCCCACCCAGCACCTTCCTTCCACCTGAGGTCTATGCAAAAATACAGACCCTACATCCAAAGCAACCATCAAAGAAAAATATAAATCACAATATTCTTTTCTAATTATGACAATTTCTTGCAGAAGACACGTTGAGGTGAATTGTGCTCCATACCCCTGTGTTGGATCAAAGCAGCACTGTACCTGTTGAGGTTTTGCCTTTGGTAATGTTTTTAGGCTTCCTTTTCCTCGTCTGGATGCTTTCCTTTTTCATGGCCAGAGGTCGTGGTACCTTGACATTGATAAAGTTTGGAATCATTAATATTGTATTTTGCATAGCTCCTTCCCACACACGTGTTGCTCTTCTATTTATGTGCTGTAGCTCATGCAAAGCACCTAAAGTCCTTGTCCTTCACTAAGTGCTATTTTTCTCTGCAACAGGCCTTGGCTGGAAGATGTATAAGGCTAACAGCTAAGGCTTTCCCACAAATTTTGTTTTTTCCTTTATTTCCTATTTTCCTTTTCCTGATTTATTAGTGACCTTTATGACAGGACCCTCTTAAATTATACTGACAGACTGGGAGCCTACATGGCTCAGAGGGAATGGTCATGGGATAAAGAGACTTTAACCTTTATGGCAGAGGTTTGAAGAGGACAGTATGGAGGGATGAAGTCTCCTCTTTGGCTGATGGACATGTTACCAACAGTTCCTATCCTCTGTGGATAAATGTTACCAGCCAGCCTCCATGTGGACTCCTCAGCATCCTTTACACATTCTTAATTACCACATCTAGAAGAAATAGGCTCCTTATCTCCAGTCTGGGTTTGAGGAGCTTCAGTATCCAGCTACTGGAGCCTGGTAAGCTTTCTTTTTGGGGAGTAACTTGGCAAACAACCTAATTAAGAGCCACCAAGGGTCAGAAATCTCTCCTCTATACAGGTGCCTCTTGAGAGTGTTCCAGTACCCCCTTAGCCTTATTCTGGAGAACCTCAGTAGACTGAGCTTTTAACTGTTTAGTGAAACAGGACTGAGTTACGGCTCTTCTGTGTCCAGTCTAGAGGCTGGTCCATCCAGACTCAATATCTTGGATCTGCTGGGTGGTGATCCCAGCACCCAAAGGGTCCTTCCCAGTGTGGACGCACTCCTCACCCCATGGAGCTTCATGTACAACCCGCAGGCGTTGCAGACGGGCTCCCCTTCGGCGTTCCTTCTCCAGAGGGTGGTATTGGTTGTGTGGCAGTTAGTGCAACATAGGCCAGCACGTCTAGATGAAGACTTAAAAAACAAGCAAAGAAACATGTGAATGCACATATAGAATGATTAATTGGGAAATTTCCTTTCATATAAAAAATCAAATTTTCAATTACACCAAGTTCCTGGAAAATGTGAAACACACACGATAGCCAAATTCAGATCAAAGAAATTACATTCAAATGAGATCACTTTAAATTGCAAGTCCTTTTTTTTTTTTTATTGAGCTTGATAAAACTGGCAAATATCCTTGTAACTCTCTCACTAACTTCCAATAAATCTGCTGGAAGTGATCAGGACTCAGAGCACAGACAACTTTCCTCCAGGAGATCCACTCAGATGGAGAAAGGAATGGAAAATGCCAGCCAGGCTTTAAGCACGCAAAAAATCCTCCTCGTGTTTTAAGTGAATTCCTCTTTTTCTGCACTCTCAACTGCCACTACAGTTAGCAACATCCCAGTTAATCTCTGGTTTGAGACAACTGGAATCAATTTGCTGAGCTGAGCAGAACCAAAGTGAACTGGCCCATGATGGGACCAAGGAGGTTATTCTTTGCATGTCTTGCAGATAATCTGTTCTCTTACAGGCTGCAGAAACACCGTGCAAACATTAATTAATGACATATTTTGTGAGTGCAGTGATTGCTGGCTCTGAAATGTTACTAATTCCAAATGGAGAAGGAAAATATTCTGGCAGAAGCAGCAAACTCATTTCTGACAACTGTACTCCAAGCCACTGGAAAATTCACAAGTCTCTCTACAGATTTGTCAGCTCGATAGGCATTGCATTTGAAAGTCACTTAACACCAGGTATTGAAACTGGTTTAACAAAAGACTTCACCAAGTATAAGACACCAGTGACATCAGTAATATCACAGGCTCTCTGCATTCAGGTGTTTGAATTTGTTCTTCAGCCTTGAGAAAGATCACTTTGGTTCTTCTCAAAGGCAGACGATAGGTGATGGGGGCAATAAAGAACTCCCTGTTTGTTTATTCTTCCATTATTGCTTGATATCATGACTGAGCAATCTGACGAATGGGGTGGGAAGAGCAGGAATAAAAATGAAATGTTTTGACAAGGTTAGCAGTCAAATAAAGATCAGCTTTGAGTTTCAAGAGATGCAAGTGACATGCCCAAGCTTTGATTCACTCGTTGCTCAGCAAAGGGGTCTCAGCAACTATTTGCAAATAACAGTATTGCTTTGGAAATTATTTAGCTTTCAAGAAATAACCAGGCAAAAATAATAATACACCGAGGTGTGAGCTGACAAGCCTGGCACAGAGGAGGGGACAGCAATCCTTGTCCCTGATATGGAACATGGTGTCACAGCAAGATCCTGGAGCAGCTACAGAGCTTCCTTAAAGCCTTCCAGCTGCTGTGGCTGTGCCGTTCATCCCTGGGACCAGGAGGGACCTCAGCCCTGAAGGGAGCAGAGGGAGGTGCCAAGCACCCGATGGGTGCAAGGACTCTGAGGTCCAGCTCCTGCTGCGGGTGTGGAGGGGAATTTGGAGTCCCTCAGCCCTGGGGTAACTGTGCCTGGCATGGGTCGGTGAGATCTGTCATCACCTGCAGATGGAGGAAGGTCAACACAAAGCCCTTTGGAAAGCCCCGAGATTTCTGGGCCACCACAGGTCCCTGGGAGGGAGGGACACACTGTCCCCATTTCATACAACGCTTTGTCTGTGGTTTGCAGATGAGGTGGCAATGAGACCTGTGGCTCCAGTGGCCCAAGGGCAATGCCAACCCTGACAGAGCTCTGCTCACCCTGACAGCACTGTGTCACCTGCTCATGGGCTTTCTGCTGGGGCACCAGCATGTGCCTTCTGCATCTTCTGCACATCACTCTGTGGGCTGCCTTCTCCTCACACAGCCAGGGAGAGCAGAAACCATCCTCCATGACCAAATATGACAATTTAAACCCCAAGTAACCCTGCGAGAACCTGACCCTGCACCACAACCTGCCAGTGTAGCAAGAAAGAGACAGTCAAGGCTACTGTTGCTCACTGAAGGACGAGGGGACAATACGTTATTGCTGGTTTCCCAGCAGTTCCCTTAAAAGAAAATGCATTTCTGCCTGCCTCCACCCGGCTGCCTTTGTACCGTTCTGACCTTGTCTAGGAAGTTGTTGACTTCAACATTGTGCTCCAGTGTTTATTTATACAAATGCAGTGTACACTTAAACAAAAACTCTTCTCAGACCAGGCTTGACAGCCAAGTGCTGCTGATAAGCCCAAGGAATGGGGAGTTGGTGCCTATCGAATCAACCGGGTGTGAGTGCTGCCTGGAGAGCCCAAAAAACTCAGAGCCAGTAAGGCAGGTTCCTCCGAGGGAGCCTAAAGCCATCAGAGACTTTGCTGCACCTCCTTTTCAAAAGTGGAAATGAAACCTCAGGGTTTCACAGGAAAAAGAAATCTCTGAACCCTCAGATTTAATCAACGCTTCTCTGTCCCCCTTGCCAGCAGGACAGGAGGAGGTGGTGTTGGTAGGAAAGAGGTTGCAGCAACGCGTGTTGAGATACCCACACTCAGCTCCTGAAAGCGGGCAGACCCGAGGCTCAGAGCCAAAACCAGCAGTGTCTGTGATTTGTCTTTGCCATCGTGGCTACGGGCAAATGATTCTATGAAACCTGTACCTTGGAGGACAAGAGAGCAGCAAGAACTGACGGCCAGGAGAAAGCCAACGCACACACCATGAACACTGCATGGCTCTAGGGTCCTGTCAGGTTGTCTCACCACTGTGATCAGTCCCATCCCCACCCTTCCCCAAAGTGTCACCAAACCCACTATGCATTGCAAACTGTAAAAAAGGAGAGGCTGAAAAAATATAGGATGATGTGGGAGCTGCTGAGCACAGGACAGCTGCTCCATCTGCCCCCAGCTCTGCACCCACGGCACAGCTCTGCTCCTACACGGAGGAATCACACGCACAAGGATGGAGCCATCCACCTCCAGCAACTGCTCCTGGATGGTACAAGGGATTTGGCTTTTAGGACTGAGTCTAAGGTATCTTCTCGTGAAACGTGCCAAGAAACTTTGGCTAGAAAAAAGATACTGCCTAAAATAAAGTTAAATAAAGTGCTGCTCCCGTCCTCCTGGAAGATAAATCCTTTCTGCTGAAAGCCACAGCCCTGTGAATCCAGACACGGGCTGTAGCGGAACAGTTGTCCCTGCCATGCAGGGGATATTGCCTTTACCTAAAAAAAAAAAAAAAACCCCACAAAAAAACCCAAAAAATGAACTGGAAACTACACCACTATTGCTCACCCTCTCCCATGCACGAGCGGGCTGAGCGCTACTGAGCTGCAGGACAGCAGTCCCGTGGTGTGACCTGGGCCACGTTGCGTTCTCCAGGGCTTTCAGTGGGACTTTGCTTTGTGAAAGCAGAAGTCAGAATAACTCCCAGCGCGGCGTCTACGCACAGAACAAAGGTCATCACGTAAAGGACAAAAGCAACCATTTTTCCTCCTCGTGTCTGTATTTCACCACATTGTGAAACAGCCGATTTCATCGTTCCTAGAGCAACGGTGTGTCACCGTGGTCACCGCTCTGCTCCCACCCAGCCCGTGCAGGGAGGTTATGAGCAGGGAAGACATCCCCGGCCATGGAAATCATTGGGGGAAGAAATATCCCAAGCCACAAGAGTTCAAGTTGCTCCCTTGGTAGTGAATTTGCAGAGTACACCTGGCACCCCGTTGCCCATCATCAGTGGGTCCCCCTTCTTCCAATGGGACAGAACTTGTTGCAACATGATATTTCAAACCCTTGGGAAAATCCAAGATTTTGAAATGTTTCATTGTAAAGTCAGGAGGGAAAGTAAAAAATCACAGCCCCTTTTTCTAATCCATTAAAAAAAAAATCCCCTCAGGTATTTCAGCCTCACCGAAATGTTTCCCCTGGATAAGAATCAGCTCTTTCATTTGAGTTTTATCATTATTGTATCGATAGACAAAAAAAAATAATATAAAAGTTTTGAAGTGCTTTGATAATTCCCACTAAAATTTGCTTGTCCTTGGGAAACGGTCTTAATTCTACAAACCAGTGTTCTCCACTAGAAAACTTTGCTGAAATGTTTGACCAAAAATGCCTCACAGGTGCTACATGTGGGGCTGTGGCAGCAAAGACAGAGGAACAGGCAGGGAGCTTGGGGTCCCTGTACCACGCAGGCAAGGGGCTGGCTCCCTTCCCACGCACCCAAATAGAACACTCAATAATAAAACAATTAAACAGCAAAACTTCTCCAATTCCCTTGAGGATAAGCTGTTAAAAAAAAAAAAAACAAAAAACCAACCAACCCTGGAAATTCATCCAGCATCACATTTTAAATCCAGTCTGAAATGTGGAATTGGATTTAAACTGGTTTGCACTGATCTCTCGGTCCACGGATCGTGTTTGCTCTGAAGAAATCAGCAGCGTAACTCGGAGATTCGCAGCACAGCAGCGACCAGAGCCGGGGGCAGATTTAATGTCATTACATTAAAGGGGACTGGGAGGGTTTTGGTGAGACAGGCAAATCCTGTCGGATAATGCAAAATATTTCACAGAAATGCCTCGATTTTGACGTGATGAACAAAATGGTGATTTTCCATGGAGCCACCGCTCATTTAATTTTGCAAATCCAGAGGCACATTTCCGGGATTGGAATTAGAATGAAACATCTTGCTCAATCCCAACTTTTTTTTTTGCTTGGTTGGGTTTTTTTTTATGGTTTTCTTACACAGATACTCATCACTGTTAGGTTATTGCTAATAATTTGTTTTGCAATGCAAAAAAATAACTGCAAGAATACACCCTGAGTGAAAGCAAAAGGAGCTCCCGGCTGCTCCCCAGCACAGCTCCGACAAACATCCTGTTTGTAATGACAGCTTCTGATGACAGGCTCTGAAACCCAAACTGTTACCACCAAATTTAAACATCCCAAAGCGACTCTACAAAAAAATAAAAGGAGGTGCTTTTCCTCTCTCACGATGGGATCCCAATTGGAGGAAGCCAAATATCACGTTGTGGAGAATTAATGTTTTAACTGGGAAACTGAGAACTACCAAACCCCAAATTTCCTCTTTAGTACTGGAGGAACTGGGTCCCAACCTGCTCCCATCGCAGGATGCCTGGCCCAGCTCAGGATCAGCCCTGTCTCCTCTTCAACTACCCTGCCTAGACCATGTGTCTGCATGAAGAACTAGGAAATAGTGATTATTATTATTATCGTAGAATAAAAAGCAACGTGCTCACTGCGAGAATGGAGCTGGGGGAAGCCCACAGAGCCCCAGGCCTGGTGCAGCTGCTCCGTGCAGCCCCAGGACCCCTCTGGTCCCTGTTGCCCACCAGCAGCAATTCATCCCATTCTCTTGACCCCCACCAGCTCTGCACCCCAACCAGAGGCTTCTGCTGATGTTGATGGCGTTTCATTTGTGGGATGACCAAGGGTCAAACAGGCCCTAACACAAATCCAGAGACCCCGACAGCACAGACACGGCTACTGCCCCCCCAGCTCCTGCCCTCCAGCCACCCCCCGAGTGGAGCAGGGGATCCCTGGGGTTTTTCCCCTCTTACCAGCCTCTTCTGTGGCTTGAGCGGCCGGTTGATGCCGTTCATTTTGTGGTAGAGCCCACAAGCGTTGCACAGGTAATGCCCGGTGCCGTCCTTCCTCCAGAGCGGCGTGGACATGGCCCCGCAGTTCACGCACTCCCGGCCGTCCCCGGGGAACTCCTCCAGGTACTCTGGAAGAAAAACCCAAGGTGTGGGGGTCAGGAGCCATCCCCACCACAGAGGGTCACCCTGTGGGACAGGGTCCCGAATCCCCTGTGCCCCACTACTCCTCTGCAAGGTACAATCCCTGCCTGGGGGGAGTTTATGTTCGCCCTACAAAGGGTGGATCAGAACACTACATTCCATCCACAAATATTAAAATCAATCTTTTAATATTTTGCTCAAAGATAGCATATTCCCCTATTGCTTCCCTGAAAGGGCTGAGTGTGGCTGGGTTCCCCTGGGACCCCATCAGCCGGAGAGCACAGTGTCACCCTGTGCTGGGCGCTGCAAAAATAAATCAGAGGGATGGAGGGGGGACAAAATGGGGCGATTTTCCTTGACTTCCATCCAGGTGCGTTGGTCGCTGGCCGGTGGATAAGGGCTCGGGATGCCCAAGGAGCATCACCGGGCTGCGGCTCCTCTGTCCCCGCATCGGCCGGGCTGGAAGCTGCGGGGGGCCCGGGGGGCCCCGGGGGAGCATCACCCGCTGGGTCCCGGCC